AACTATAAAGACAATGTTGTTTAAAATAGCATTCAAGGGGCATCTGGGTGGCTCAGTCCGTTAGGTGTCTGCCTTCCGCTCAGGTCATGATCCCAGAGTCCTGGGATGAGGCTGGTATTGGGCTCCCTGCTCAGTGGGGAGCCTGCTTCTCCCTCTCCCTCTGCCACTGCCCCTGCTTGTGCTCACGCTCTCTCTCTATCTCTCAAAATAAAATCTTTAAAAAAATAAAATAGCATTCAAAACTACTAAAAGCTAAATTTAAAGTATGTGCAAAACCATACCAAAAACTACAAGACACTGCAAAAGGTAATTAAAGAAGACCACATTCAAGGATTGGAAGACTTAATATGGTAAAGATGGCAACTGATCTATAAATTCAATGCAAACAAAATCAATTCTAAGAGGCTTTTGAAGAAATTGATAGACTAATTTTAACACTTACATAAAAAGACAAAGGACCCAGATTAGCCAAAATAAGGTTAAAAACAGAACAAGACTGGAGGGCTTATACTACCTGACTTCAAGGCTATAGTAAACAACAACAACAACAACAAAAAAGACTAGTAAACAGGGCAGTGTGGTACGGCAAACAGATCAATGGAACAGAATAGAGTCCAGAAACACACCTGATCAGTAATTTTTGACAAGACGTGGCAAGGTAATTCAAGGGGGAAAAGATATAGTCTTCTCTAAAAATGATACTAGAACAACTGAATATCTGGAAAAAAAAATATGTATCTCGAAATCTCAAACCTTACCTCACATCACACACAAAAGCTAATTTAAAATGTATTGCACAGTAAAGAGTTAATACAGCAGGCCAGAGACTGCTATCTTTAGAAAGTCTGCTTACAAAGTTGGCCCTAATGGCATCTGGGAACTTGAATCTCAGGGGTATTCCCATATTCCCTAACTGAGAAGGGTGGTTTACATACCAACAATATGGTTTATGCTCAACATTTGCTTTCTTTCCAGGAGTCTGGAATTTTGGTACTTGCTGGGCAGGTAATGCCTACATGAACAGCCCCCAGTGAAAGACTTGGGCACTGAGTCACTAATGAACTTTCCTAGTGGACAACACTTGACGCTTTTTGTCACAACTGATGCTGGAGGAATTGTCATTGGGAAAATCAGTGGGCAAGGATACCTGGAAGCTTGCATCTAATTTCCTCTGGACCTCTCCCCACACACCTGTTTCAGGGCCTGCTTTTGTTGTGTCTTTTACTGTAATAAATCATAGCTATGGCTATATCTTGAGTCTTATAAATAAATCCTCCCAGTGAATTATAGAACCTGTGGATCATAAACCTATGATATGGATCACAGACCTAAATATAATAGCTAAAACTATTAAACTTTTAGAACAAACCAGGAAAAATCTTTGACATTAGATTAGGCAAAGATTTCTTAAACAGGTCACAAAAAAATCAGGAAGTATGACTGAAAAGAAAACAGATAAAATGGACATTATCAAAATCAAGTGTTTGCTTTTTAAAAGATATTAAGAAAACAAAAAAGCAAGCCACAGACCAAGAGAAAATTAATAATAGTAAATAACCATCTTCTGACAGAAGATTGGTACCAGAATTTTTACACTTTAGTAGTAAGAAAAAAAAATTAAAAACAGGCTAAAGATTTGAACAGTTTAGAAGAGAGATGACCAACCAATAAATCATGAAAAGATGCTCAACATCACTAAATATAAAAAAATGCAAATAAAGGCACAAAGAAATACCATTATACGCCTACCGAAGTGGCTAATGTTAAAGAGTCTAATAAGATCAAGTGTTGGAAGGGATGTGAACCAACTGGAACTCCCATGTAATTGCTGGTGGGAATGTAAATGGTACAGCCACTCTGGAAAACTCTATACACTATTTTCTAAAAATTAAATATACATTTTCCAGACAATGCAACTGATCCATCCCTAGGTATTTAGAAAAGAAAAAAATTAAAATACATGACCACATACAGCATTTTATTCAAGTGTATTTCAACAGGTAAATTTAAAAATTGTGAAATATCAGATTACAGCAAAAAAGGAACAAAATGTGAATACATGAAACAGCACAGACGAATCTCCAATTCCTAAGTAAAAGAAGTCAAATGAAAAGATAACAAACTGTACGGTTTAATAGCTAAGAAATTCTAAAAATGATAAAACTATAGTGACAGAAAGCAGATCAGTAGTTCCATGGAGACTTAAGGTGGATCACAGCCCTATATATAAAAGCTAAATCTACAAAACTCTTAGGAAAAAGACAAGTATAAATCTTTGGGTCCTTGGATTAAGCATCCAGATTAACTCAAAATGGATCATAGTACTATATATAAGCTGCATCTACAAAACTCTTAGGAAAAAGATAAATCTTCATGACTTTGGATTAAGCATCCATTTCTTAAATATGACACCTAAAGCATAAACAAACAAAGAAAAAATAGATGAACTGGAATTCATCAAAATTTAAAATATCTGTGCTTCAAAGGAAAAAAATCCATAGACTGAGAGAAAATATTTGCAAATTAGACACCAATTAAGAGTCTAGTATTCAGAATATATAAAGAACTCCAACAATAAACAGACAACCCAATTACAAAATGGTAAAAGGATCTGAATAGATATTTTTCCAAAGAAGAAGTAGAACTGGCCAACAGATGCTCAACAAGTTTTCTCTCAGAGAAATGCAAATCGAAAACTGCAAAGGCAGCAAAGAGATTCCACTTCACACTCTCTAGGATAGCTATAATCTAAAAGAAAGTAATTTTTTTTTTCCCCAGAAAAAAGAAAAATTAGTACCGGTGAGGATGTGGAGAAATTGTAACACACGCATTGTTGATAGAAATGTAAAATGATGCAGCTGCTGTAGAAAAGAGTTTGGCAGGTCCTCAAAAAATAAGAGAGTAACCATAAAACCCAGCAATATCACTGCAAGGTATACATACAAGAGAAATGAACACATAGATTCAGACACAAATGTGTACAAAGTGTTTCTAGTAGTATTATTCATGATAGCTAAAAAGTGGAAACAACCCAAGTGTCACTGATGAATGAATATACAAAACTCAGTACATCCATACAATGGAATATTATTCAGCAATAAAGAGGAATGAGGTACTGATGCACACTACAACATGAATGGACTTGGAAAACAGCACTCTAAGTGAAAGAAGCCAGACACAAATGTCACATACTATATGACTTCATTTATATGAAATGCCCAGAATAGGCAAATCCACAGAAATAGGAAGTAGATTTAATGGTTGCATAGGGCTGGGGCCATAAGGAGTGACTGCTAATCAAAGCAGGGTTACTTTTTGAGGTGATAAAAATATAGAGGAAGTAGATGGTGGTGACGGTTGCACAATTCTGTAAATACACTATAAATCAATGAATGGCACACTTCAAAAGTTATGGCATGTTAACTGTATTTCAATAATCTTTTAAAAAAGATGACTGGGAAGTTTTAGCATATTTAAAAGTAAAATGCATGATACCATGGGAAAAGATGGGAGGGGGAAAATGGAAATTCACTGTCGTAAGATTTTCAAAGTATATGTGAAGTGTTATAATGTTATTTGAAAGTAGATAGTGATAACTTAAAGATGTATATTGTAAATCCTAGTGGTAGACTGTAGCAAGATAAAGATGTGCGTTGTACATCCTAGGGCAAGCACCTACTAAATAAATACATAAAACAGAGATACAGGTTTAATAGTAATATTAATACTTGATTATGTGGAAAAACTCCCTTATTTTCTTAATTTCTACTTCTTATACTCCATCTATCTCCACCTAAAACATCTGCCCTGATGTCACTAAGTCCTTGAAAATATTCTTCAGTGGAGATTGCTCCTTCCGTCAAACTTTCCAGACTCAAAAACAGAGCCAAGAACATTCCCCACAGTTGATGTTCACAGTTGTCAGCAATGGGCAAAGAGGAAGCATGTGTGCTGGCATTTTCATTCTCATGCTTGTATCACTACGTCTTACTGAGTAAACATATCCTCCAGACAATCACTACCACATCAGTTGACGGTGAGAGGCAAGACAGACATGGTCATTCAATCCTCTTCCTTACTACCTTCTATTATTTTAAAAACAAGCCATTTGCTCAGGATCAATCTCTTATCCCCTTCACTGAACTCTTCATTCTACTCATCTTACTCAATGGTTTCTACACTGGCTCTTATTTTTCTTTTGTACTCTATCAAAAGTCATTAGTCCATCTGACCCAATATTACCTTGGCCTCAAAGTTCTTTGAATTTCTGTTTCAAACACCACTTACAAACCCACACAGAGACAAGTAATTGAAGGCTCACAATACACCCTGCTGTACAGAGGCAGGGTATACCAGAGCTAAAATGTCTCAAAAAGAACACTACATATGGAGTGATAATACTTGGGTTCAAACTCTGCCCTTATACTGCATGAACTTAGGTCTGTTTCACTGGACATGTGCTATCTTAAAATTAAGTCCCTAGAGCAGAATTTCAAGTAAACTTGTTTCTAAGAATACACAACAAATTACCACCATTCACCATGTGAATTAATCTCATTTACTTTTCACATTCTCTGTCCAAAAATCTGTTTATTTAAGATTATGGACATTTTAATTATAATAAAAAATCTAGTGATACTTAAGGATCTTATGCTATACTTAAAAGTAACTGAAAAGTATGATTCTTTTACAACAAAAGGAATCATGAAGATTATGAATCAAAATAGCACCTCAAGGGGCACCTGGGTGGCTCAGCCAGTCGAGCGATTGAGCATCAGACTCTTGGTTTCGGCTGGGGTCATGATCTCAGGACTGTGGGGTCAGGCTACGCACTCCGCAGTCTGTCTAAGATTCTTTCCCCTCCTCCCTCTCTCTCCCTCCCCCTCTACTCTTACCAACCCCAACCCCACCGGTTCAGTGTACATGTGTGCATGCTCTCTCTCACTCTAAAATAAATAAAACAATAAAATCTTAAAAAAAAAAAAAAAAAAAAACAGTACCTCAATATTTTTACTGGCCACATTCTTCACAACAGCAGGAAACAGTTCAGATGCATTTTTCCCTTTTGCAATCATCTGAAGGATAAAAGTAGAGTATTAGAGGTGAAACCTTTGTAAAATGAGTCATTTGAAAATAAAACATAAATTCTACATACATTAAATATTTAGAAAATAGAATCAACAAATTAGCTATGGAATTAACAGGCCTTTTTGAGTTATTACTTATCTCAACTATCTGCATCAAAGAACCAATGACTTGTATATCAATATAAATATACAAATACACAGACACATTAAAGAAGAAATATATAGTAATTTAAGAGATATAATAAAATATCTACAGTAGTTTTCTCTGGCTAATGAGGGTGTAAATAATTTTTAAATATTTATACTGCCCTTTATTTCCCAGGTTCTTATATTAAAATTATACTGCATTTGCAATGGAGGTGGGGGGGTGGAATAAATGTTATTTTGAACAAGCTATTTCTCCCCTGGCTTTCTTTTCAAGGGTTCCCCTACTTCTCCAATCACTACTTTTCAAAGTTCCCTTCACCAAGTCCTCTTCTCTGCCCACTAAAGTTCTGTGCACCACCATCTTTTCAGGCTACACTATTCTACAATCTCTGAAACTCCTAACATTTCATTCACCTTCAGGACTTAACTCTCACCACTATGGGGATCAATTCCCCAAACTCTAAGCCCCAGTTCCACTTCTATAATTGGACATCATTAGATGTCTCTCTCATCTCAAACTTGCTGTCTAAAACCAAACTTATTTCTCATGATAAAATGGCACTCATGCTAGAACTTCCTATTTCCACCAATTTTCCCAGATACCAGAAACCACAGAACTTTCTTCTCAAATCTACAAAATAACTAGGTCCCGTTGTGATTTCTCTGTACAATCACATTAATCCTTTCTCACTGTTACTATCCTGAACTAGGTCACTATCACCTCATAAAGGACCTTTTCCAACAGTCTCCCACTCCTGTCCATAATGTACATCACTGACAGTTTCAACCCTGACTGCCTAGGAACCCAAACTACTGGGCACCTGGGTGGCTCAGTCGGTTAAGCGTCTGCCTTCAGCCCAGGTCATGATCTCAAGGTCCCAAGATCGAGTCCCGCATCAGGCTCCCTGCTCAGCGGGGAGTCTGCTTCTCACTCTCCCTCTACCCCTCCCCCTGCTCATGCTCTCTCTCTCAAATAAATAAAAATCTTTAAAAAAAAAAAAAGAATCCAAACCATTTCACTTAATATTAAACGCCCTCAGTTTGCAAGATCCCTTTTAAGCGCATCAATCATTATTGTTCTACACAAATGCTACTATCAAAATAAACTGACCTACCACTACCAGAACATTCTCTGGCTCCTCCATGCCTGTACTCATATCACACCCCCAACTCAATTCTTTTTACTTTTTTTTTTTTTTAAAGATTTTATTTATTTATTTGACAGACAGAAACACAGTGAGAGAGGGAACCCAAGCAGGGAGAGTGGGAGAGGGAGAAGCAGGCTTCCCACGGAGCAGGGAGCCCAATCCCAGGGCCTTGGGATCCTGACCTGAGCCGAAGGCAGACACTTAACAACTGAGCCACCCAGGCGCCCCAATTCTTTTTACTTTTCACGTTCCTCCCAAATTCTAATCACTCTCCCTTCCTAGAGTAATCTCCTAATACCTGGCCTACCATGTCATCCAATTCTCTAATTTCCTCTAGTATTTTTTAATCTACACTTTTCATTTGGAATTTTCTATGTGCTATGTTTTATTTCTATTTATTTTAGTTGTATGTCTACCTATATCCCCATTTCCTTTACTCTCATTCCCAGAATATATCTTCATGTCTATTAATAGTCAAGACTTTGATAGCTACAAAATAAAGTTTAAACTATAATTTTCTGGAAAGGGATTCTATATGAATTATACACTCTATCTAGGAAACTACCTAAAAATTATGGAAACTATTAGTTTTATAAATTTATGACAAATGTTTTACAACATTTTATAACATTGAGCATTATAATCCCAGTTAGCAATTTCTCAATAAGACCCTTCTACAGGATAGTTTAAAAATACTCTAAAACAAGCTAGTCTTTTATATTCTATTTCCTTACCTGTCATATTATGACTTGAATATTTTGGTTTTTTTAAAAGATTTTGTTTATTTGAGAGAGAGAGCACAAGTGGGGAGAGGGACAGAGGCAGAGGGAAAAGCAGACTCCCCCCCCACCCCACCCCCGCCAGAGCAGGGAGCCTGAAGCAGGGAGCCTGGGACTCCAGGATGATAACCTGAGCCGAAGGCAGACGCTTAACTGAATGAGCCACCCAGGCACTCTGACTTGAGTATTTTGTAAACCTGTTTTACTGCAGGTAAAACATCTTTGTATGATTTTTTCACCTCCCTCAATTCTCTCATCTGTAAAATAAGGAGAGAGGGATCAAATGTTCTCTAGAGCCCATTGTTTCAGTTATTCAATGACTACCAGAAGTCAGAGATCCTGTCCTATTATATCCTATTCTAAGTATTCCCCAACTGTTCTACAGAACACTATTCAAAAAAATGTTAACAGATGACAGAAGAAAAAAGCCTACAGTCAAATTCATTTAACAAATATTTGCTGAGAGAGCACTACATGCCAGGGACTATTGCAGGCCTTGATGATACAACTGTGAACAGTACATAATCCCTGCCCATTAGAGCTTACCTTCTAATGGGGGTGAGGAACAATAAATAAATAAATAGAATATGTGAGATGGTAAAAGAGAGTACTGTGGGGGAAAAAAAGGACTGTATGAGAAATGGAAAGTGCTAGGGATGGGAGCTGCCCTTTTGTTTAGTGTTTTCCTAGTATATATTTCCCATCCTTATATTTTTAATCTATGTATGTCTTTATACTAAAAGTGGGTTTTTCCCTGGGGCACCTGGGTGGCTTAGTCAGTTAAGCAATTACCTTCGACTCAGATCATGATCCCAGGGTCCTGAGATCAAGGACCACATCGGGCTCCCTGATCAGCAGGGAATCTGCTTCTCTCTCTCTCTCTCTCTCTCTGCCCCTTCCCCCAACTAGTGCTCTCTATCGCTCTCTTTCTCCCTCTCTCAAATAATCTTAAAAAAATAAATAAAAGTGGGTTTCTCCTAGAGAATATATACTTGCATCTTGATATTTTCATCTAATCTGACAATATCTTTTAGTTGTTGACTTTAGATCACTCAAATTTAATATAATTATTGATGTGGTTAGATTCAGGTCTACAGTTTTATTACCTGTTTTCTGTTTACTGTCTGTGTTTTGTTTGTCTGACCACTGTCATTCCCATTATTTGGGAGCATCTAAATATTATTTTAATTTTTATATTGATTTTTTGGCTGTATATTTTTGTTTAACTTTTAGTGGTTCTTCCTCTAGAGGGATTATTAGATAGATAGACAAATCAAGATACAGCAAGTCTTTCACAGTCTACTTAGTGCTAATACTGAACCAGGTCAAATAAAATGTAGAACCCTTACAACCATATGGGCCCTTTTAATCCCACCTTCCTGCTAGCCTTTATATTACAGCTATAATATATACTATATCTATATCCATTTAAAACCTCTCAGTATAACCTATAAAGAATAAAATTAGTCCTTTATGCTTACCAAATACAGTACACCCTTGAACAATGCAGGGATTGTGGGCACCTACCCACAGACTTGAATATCCACATATAATTTCTGACTCCTCCCCCCAAATTAACTACTAATAGCCTACTGTTGCCTGGAAGCCCTATTGATAAGATAAACAGTTGATTAACATATATTTTACATGTCGTATGTGTTATATACTGTATTCTTACAATAAAGCTAGAAAAAAATATTAAAACCATAAGAAAAATAATCATAAAGGGAAAATGCATTTACAATACTATACTATAAAAATAACATGTATAAGTGGACCCATGCAATTCAAACCTCTGTTGTTCAGGTGTTACCTCTACTTTCTTTCAGTACTTTGAAGATGTTCCAGGGGTGCCTAGGTGGCTCAGTCAGATGAGCATCCAACTCTTCAGTTCAGATCATGATCTCAGAGTTGTGAGATCACTGAAAATGTGCTTACAATTCTCTCTCTTCCTCTATCTGCCCCTCCCCTGCTCTCTCTCTCTCTCTCTCTTTCCCTCCCTCTCAATCAATCAATAAAATAAATGTGTTCTATTGTCTTCTGGCTGCATGGTTTCTCATGAGAAATATGGAGTTATTCAAATCACTGGTCCTTGTATGTAATGTATCATTTTTTTCCCCAAGTACTTTCAAGATTATTTCTTTATTTTTGATTTTCCACAGTTTAATTGCTTTGTGTTCAGGCATGGTTTTCTTTGAGTTTATCCTGACTGGGGTATTCTGAACATTTCATCACAAATTTATGTCATTCATTAATTTGGGTAGTTTCCAACCATTATTTCTTCAAGTATTTTTATTGCCCCAATCTCTTTCTCTTCTTTTGAACATATTTGTTAGATCTTTTGGTATTATCCAACAAAACCCTGAGGCTGTATTCATTTCTTTTTGTTTTTATCTGTTCTGCAAATTAATTTCTAATGATCTGTCTTCAACTTCTGGTTCTTTCTTCTGTTATATTCATTTTGCTATTGAGTCAATCCAGGACATTTTTTATGTCAGATATGATTAAAAAAAAAAAAAAGATACCAGATTATTTGAGATATGACAGAAATTTCAACATATTTCTACATGATGTAGTTCATGTGAGATACTTTGGAAAAAAGCTACCAGTTAGTTTCTACCTGGATAATAAGTGAATATAGGAGACCCCCTTCCCTAGCATAACTTACCATCTAATCATAAATGGTCCTAATATTACTTACTACCGAAGTATAAGACAAGAGAAATGTCCAGTCAAGTCCTTTATCCATTTTCAATTGGGTTGTTTTTTTAGATGTTGAGTTGTATGAGTTCTTTACATATACTGGATATTAATTCCTCTATGATGGGAGAATGGTTTTTTATAGATTTCAAAATATTTTTTCCCATTCTGTGGGTTGCCTCATCAACTGCTGCATATGATGCACAAAGATTTT